TATTCCTTATCCTTCCTCCATGTTTATGTTTCCTCATTCTAGCCCTACCATGCGCATTCTCCCCATCCTCCTCAGCTCTTTTTGCGAAGCCTCCTCCTTGGAGAGCCTCTGGGGGCCTCACAAAAGTTTGTCAGGTTTCCTTAAAGCCTTCTGGAGGCCTCCTGGGCATGATCGGGGGGCCTCTGGGGGCTTCCTCGGGCCACCCTGCCTCCAACCGCGGTCTCCCTGAACGACCGGGTCACGATTTGGAATGGTTCGGAGGGCGTCTCGGCGCCATCTTGGGCCGCCATGGGGCTCTCTTAGGGCCGTCTTGGACCCTTATTGTGCCGTTTTGGGGCTGTCTGGGACTGCCTGGAAGCCCTTTCGGATTGTTGTGGGGCGATTTGGGAGCCTCCCAGGCGGCTTCGGACGCCCAGAAGACCAAGATGGCCCCGAGATGGCCCAAGAGAACACCAAAAGAGTCCCAACAGGCCCCCAAGGCGGCCCCAAGACGGCCCCAAGAGCGCCCCCAGAGGACCCAACGAAAGGCCCCAAGAGGCGATTTTGAGGGCTCGTGAGGGGGAGCCTAAATCAAAGAACGCCCTTCTTGTGATCGACGCCTTGCAAGACGGCCTCCAGGGCTCCCGAGAGGCCCACGGGAAAGCCCCAAGGGGGCCCCGAGACCCCCCAGAAGAGCCTCACGAGGACTCCAGGACTCCCCAGCATGTCCCCAAGAGGGCCCCAAGAGGGCCCCCGGAGAGGGCCTGCTCGCCTGCTCGCGAGTCTTCGTCCAACGGCTGTTCTCTGCTTGGGCATCGTTTCTGAATGCGCGGGATGGGCTACATTTTTGTTGGCGAGCGCGCAGGGGTGCCAGGCGCCGTCAAGAGACGCGGCTAACAAGCAACGGCCTAAATTCCGCGGCCCGGGGAGGGAACGAAAGCAAGCGGAAGCTGGATGGGTTACACGAAATGCCAACAATCAGAGGCTACTAAGACACCCCTCCGATGGGCAGCACCCAGGGAGGCGAGGTCTAGCTTGGATCCGGGTAGCACCGCGCTCCTCCGGACTCTCCACAAGCTCATGAAAGTGGCAGTTGGCAACACCCCAAAGAGGCGAGGTCAAGTCAAGTTTAGATATGAATAGCACCGCACTCCGCCAGACCCCCATGAGCTCAAGACCATGGCGGCAAGTACGCGCCTGGTACCATCCCAGGAGGCGAAGCCTGATTTGGATCTGGGTAGCACCGCAATCCGCCAGCCCCCCCCCCCCAGCGTGCTCACGAAAGTGGAGACGGCTGCGCGCCTAGTGCCATCCAGCGAGGCGAGGTCTAGTTCGGGTTAGGATAGCACCGCACTCCTCTAGACCCCACATGCTCACGAAAGTGGCCACAGTTGCGCGCCTGGTACCATTCAGGGTGGCTACACCCTGCGAAATGCTTAAGAAATCATGGGTTAAGAAATTCATAGTCTCAGAAATTGAATAAAACCCAGAACTTCTATCAAAATCTTGGGATTTACATCGAAACGTTCAGAATAATCGAGACTCTGGCCGAAAACTTTGGTTTTCTTAAGCATCGCATAAGGTGTACGTCTAGTTTGGATATGGCCAGCACCTCACCCCGCTGGACATACCGCACAGGCTACCGAGAGCGGCGACCGCTGCACAGTAGCCGGCGAAGTGGCGACAACCACAGTTACTCCTTCACTGAATAATATTGGGAGGGAGCACAAGGACGAGTCGAAGGATCGCTAGTACCCGACTGGGGAGGAGGCAACAGAAGGAGGCGAAGGGGAGAAAAAAGAAGGGAGAGGACGAGGAGAAGGACGAGGACGAGGAGGAGGGGGAGAAGGAGGAGGGAGATGAGAGGAGAGGAGAGGAAAGGAGAGAAGAGGAGAAGAGAGGACAGGAGAGGAGAGGCGAGGAGAGGAGAGGAGAGAACAGGAGAGGAAAGGAGGGGAGGGGAGGGGAGAGGAGGAGGAGGTGGAGGATAAAAAAGGAGAGGGCGAGAGGGAGGAGAGAGCATCAGCCCGACACCATGCATGGACATCCCGAGCATTCTGACACCCTCGCCGAGCCCCGTCCCCACCCCCCTGGCGCGTCTCGACTGCCAAACTCGGGACAACCGCACACGCACGCAGCTCTCCAAAACACGCGCCGACAATGAGATCTCCGCTAACGCGCGGGCCGAGAGAATGAATATCGTTTAACCGATCCCCATCCCCAGCGGCGTGGCCTGGGCCCCACCGGCCGATTTACCCCCCTACATGGGGATATAGGTCGTTTCCTTCGGGTTTCGAGGGGTGTAACCCCAACTGGGGTGGTAATTTGGTGGGGGTCTCGAAGGGGATGGAGATGGGGATGGGGGTCGGATAGACGATACCGAGAGAAGGACCATGGTCCTGGGGAACGGAGAAGCCGCCGCAGTCCACAATGTACCTCGGCAGTGGTCGGCAACGGGTGTAGAGTTGAGCAGCGGGGGCGGGAAGGGACGAACTGTAGGTGAAGGAGGAGGAAGGAGGAGGAAGGAGGAGGAGGAAGGAGGAGGACGACGGAGAAGGAGGAAGGAAGGAGGAGGAGGAAGGAGGAAGAGAAAACGAACGGGAGGAAGGAGGAGGAGGAGGAGGACGAAAGTACACCCCAAGACGCATCAACGATGTTGCAATAGTCCCTCCCTCCAAGTTCCCGTCTTCACGGGTCCCCCAGAGAATTTTGTTTCTCGTTGCACGAAGTGGCCCATCAGAAAACAACGGTGAGAACCCTCAATCGTGCCAAGACACAATCGCTGGGACTTTAGCGCTGCGGATCACCCTGATTGCTGCGCCCTGACAACCCTAAACCGTGTCAAAACACCGTTCCTGGGACTTCAACACCACGAGTAAGCGTAGTTGTTGCGTCCTGACAACCCTAAACAGCGCCAGAATACCATCCCTGGGACTTCGGCCGTACGGGTCAGCGAAATTGCTGCAAGCTGTTCATACGAATCTGCGCGGCGCTGAGGAGAGAGTCGCCATTTGGAAAGGAACCGCCCTTCAGCATTCAAAGTGCTGCAACTGTTGAAAACGAGTGTGCGTGGCGCTAGAGCAAAAGACACATGTGAAGGGGCCCTGGGACACACAAATAAATACACACAAATATCAGGATTCCCCATATTTCCCCATATTTTCTGATCTTTTGTCTTCCCCCCCACTTCCCATAGTTTCCCATATTTTTCGGGGGATCGACGATTCATTGTGTCTGTGCGTCTTTTCCCCTCCTGAGTAGCCACATGTTGACAAGGATGCGCCCACCATTCGTGAGAATGCTGCATGCTTTTAGGCAGAAACTGCGCGGGGGTAAAGATGAAAAACTATTATTCAAAAGACCCGTCTTCCGTCCGCGAAACTGCCGCAAACTTTTGAGACAACTGTGCACGGCGCTGAAACGAGACCCACAAGTTGAAAAGGAACCGCCGTCCATCCGTGAAACTGCTGCGAATTTCAAGCTTCAGGATCATCCATGGCCGGCTCGCCCTACCGACGCGTCTGCGGGTGCGAGCGGGAGGAGTTCTTCACAAGGGAGGCGGAGGGCGGAGGGGGAGAAGGGAAAGGGGGATAGGAACACAAGGGCGAGAACAAGAAACGGGAAGGACGGGAAACAGGAGATACTGAAGAGAAATGGGAGATGAAGAGAAGGAACGAGGGAAAGAGAGGTAGATAAACCAAAAAAACAACAATAAGAAAACTGAGAGCGAGAGAAAGAAAACCAAACACAGAGAACCAACAAGTAGATCGCGCGGCACGGATTCGGACAATCATGGTGCGGGGGGCTACTGGGGCCTACCCCCCGCTCGCCCACAGATCATCGTTCGTTCGCTAAACGTGTCCCACGACACATCGGCACAGCAGTGGAAACACGCATGCCGCGCAAGAGCGGCAAAAACACATCACACCTAAGAATATTTCGGGCCAGTGGAAAAACAATACAGTTGCGCGAATTGTTTTCCAAATTCGCTGCCCACGCACTGCAAAACAAGGGGGCCTGAACAATGCGCCCAACGCCTCCTGAGTAAGAAGGGCAGACGGGAGGGAGGGAGGGAGGGAGAGAAAAAGAGAAACGGGAGGGGAGGGGAAGGGATGCGGGAGAGGGCGAAGACTGGACGTTATCGCTGGCTTCGCCTGCTCCCGGATCACCGCGGCCCATCTCCACCAGGGTCTTTCCCCGTGCACGAACGCAAGCCGGTCGCGGCGCCGGTGAGCCGGGAGCCAGCACAGCAGCCCGCCATGGAGACTGTTCCGGATGGGAGGAGGAGGAGGAGGAGGAGGAGGAGGAGGAGGAGGATAAGGAGGAGGAGGAGGAGAAGGAGGAGGAGGAGAAGGAGGAGAAGGAGGAGGAGGAGAAACCACCAATTGCCACAGCAGACTGCAACGCTCTCGATGCTGGCGGGTTTGCCGCCGGACCTCTCCATTCGGCGCGCGCGAATTCAATGAATGTAGCATGCAGTCAGCCTTTCGTAGACATCGGGTCCGGAAGCAATCGATAAGTATTGTCTTTGTCGGCCTGGCGGAGGCAGAACGCATCCAAGCTGTACATCAGCGTCGACACCACGCAATAATTAAAAATCACCGTCTTCCTGGCACGCTTGATGTTCGCTTGTTCCCACACGCTTTTCAAAGTTTCGAATGCAGCCGAAGCTTCGCCGCATTGATGAGCGGCGCGACGTGCGGCGTTATCATGCTCATGTCGTGACAGACCTACAAGTGGACCGTTTTTAACCAAGTCGGTCCCACTCTAAATATGCTGGCCCAGCGCAATCATTTCCCAAAGGTAAACTGCAGACGCGACATGATTTCTGATACCACAGCAATGTCCTTTGCCGTCGGCGTTGTGCATGTCGACGGTTATGTCAGTCGGCAACGCTGGTCCAAGGGCCGCCTACACGTCCTCGTCTACAACGACCATGATCACGGAAAAAACGATGATGAACAAGTGTGGGCTTAGCGAGCACCATTGCGCAATCCCGGTTCCTCTGTCCAAAAAATGCGAAAGATCCCTGCCGATCACGAACCTCGACAATCCGAGTCATACACGGCCGAAATGATTGCCCATTTATGGTCCGGCACCCCAAAGCGCCCGAAAGTGACGAGCATCGCTGCCGGGTCGACTTGGTCGAAAACTTGTTGGACCAGTCTAAGAGGATCGCGGACAACGACCCGTCCTTCGTCGACCATGCCCCGTAGCGATGGACTCCGCGAACCAGGGGCGGGTCGCGTCTGACCCTATCGTGGCGACTGCGATCCCAGCGCGATCATCGACTGTCAACGACATGAGCCCCGGGCAGCCCAGGCGGATTCGGCACCAGAAAAGCTGAAAGGCAAAGAGGCCACGGCAGTGCTTCGGGGGCTCGACTGCGTGGTCCAGAACGGCAGGATGGGAGCAGGGAACTTGGATAACGCGCTGTGCAGCGACCTCATGTCCCCACACGTGTGCAACACCCCGATGACGCTTGGCTTCGTCACCTGGGAAGGAGAACTCAGCGTGCGCTCTTCGACAGACGTGAGGACCATTATGCATGTACATGTACATGTACGTGTACATGTACAAATACATGTACAAATACATAGTCACATACATATACGTATGTATATACATATGCATAGTCACTACCACGAACATATACATATGCGAATAAGTATACCTATATGCGCATACACAGTACCTATACGTATACAAAGACTCAGACACGTATATATCAAAATACTTAAAATACATATACAAAAATACACATTTGAATACGTATACGTATACGTATACGTATACGTACACAGATACGTATACGCATACATATGCAACTACATGTACATGTATACTTATATACGGGCACACATACACATACACATACATAAACACATAACCACAAACATATACATAAACATGTACATAAACATATACGCATGCGTACACATACGTGTACACATACATGCACTATGTAAATGTCTATATATATATATACACATAGATATATGCCCATACATATACATGTGCACAAACAGCAGTATATACATACACCTATATTTGTATGTATATACATAAACGTATGCACATAGGTATACATGTACCTACATATGCACATACCTATACAAGTTCATGCCCATATACATTTACATATACCTATATATACATGCATGCAACTTCCTATACATATACGAATGCATATACCTATACATATGCATATAAATAAACACATGCATGTAGATGCACATCTGCATACATGTATACATGGTCTTAGACATTCGCATACACATATGCGTAGACTTATACGTATACACGTACATACACATATACCCAGACATAAACGTTCACACACAAATATACATATACATATTCCTATACTATGTAAGTATACATGAACATAAACATATACAAACACCTACATATATACACACCTATATATATGTGTATAACCATATACATATACATAGACATATACATCTACCCACACATCTATACATGCGTATATACACATAGCTACATGCATACAAACTGTACATGCAGACACGTATACATATACATCTACATTTGCATCAAGAAGCCCCCAGGAGGCTCCGGAAAGGGGGGGGGCACGCCATTCCCGACGCATTTCATGCTCGGAGGCGGGGGGGGGCCCACAGGCTCCCAAGAAGCCCCCAGGAGGCCCCAGAAGGCCCCCAAGAAGCCCGAAAGAGGCCCCAAGAGGCCACAACAAGACCCCCCAAAGGCTTCCCCAGGTCCCTTGCTCAATCCCTGGAGCCTCAGTCTCTCAGTCCTCAAGCCTGAGGATTCTTAATGGGCCCGGACCCCAAGCTCTCAAATCGCTTGAGGTTCCCCGTGCGCCCTCTGGGGCCCCCAGAATGTTCCCGCATGACTTCTTCGACCCCAAGAGAGGCCCAACACGGGCAAACAGGGCCCCTGTAGGCCCTCAAGACGGCCCAGGAGAGCCCCGAATCACCGAACGATCGGTCCAAGAAGCCGAAGATGGCCTTATGGCCATTACCATGATAACACCATAAGAATAGTGACAAGAATGATCATCATCATCATCATCATCACCACCACCACCACCACCACCATCATCACCATCATCATCATCATCATCCAAAGCGCCCCGGACCGGCTGCTCTGGCCGGAGGCCTGCTCTATACATGGACATGTATACCTATATATGTATATACACACATGTCTATAAGGAAGCATATGCCAATCAAAATTTATACGTATATATAGATATATATACATGTACATGCATATACATATACAAATACATATACATATACATACACATGTACGTATACTACAATATATACAAATATACATATATATACATATACGTACACATATGTATATACATATAGCTGTATATATACATATATATACCTATACCTATACCTATACATATACATTTACATATACATATACATAGACATATACATATACATATACATCTACCTACACAAATGCATTAACATATACGTATGTGTATACGTCTACATATACACTCACACATACATATACATACGCATACATATATACAAGGATTCATATATCTATATATGCATATACCTGTACATAGACAAACATGCATGTATACACAAATACGCATATACATACGTGTATCTATACATATATAAAAAGACGAAAACACATACACAAACATATACGTACACAGTTACACATACCTGCACACATGTGTATATGTATATGTGCATAACAATAAAGTACACATATACCTATAAAATTATATAAACGCAAGCATATATACCTAGACATACATGCACATAGCCAAACGCACATGCATATACAAACACATATGAATATGCATATGCATATACGTGAACATGCACTTAGGCATACGAATACACATACACCGCATCATATGCCTATATATACATGTGTATATACATGTGCCTAAAACTCGACCTGTAACTGTATATACACATATACATATACATAGACATACATATAGACATAGACATAGACAGAGACAAATACATAGACGTATACGTTGACATTGACATAGACATAGACGTAGACACAAACGTAGACACATTTACATATACGTTCACATATACGTATGGCCCTTGAGGCACGAGTTGGAATCTCTTCAGGTCCATTGTACGATCCCCTGGAGCCTCAGTCCTCAATCCTGAGGATTACTGAAAGGGGCCCAGACCCGAAATTGCCAAACCTTCCGGGGATTGGCAGGACTTGTCGCGTAACTTTTTCAGAGCCAAGAGGGCCTCAAGACGGGCCCAGAGGGCCCCAAGAGACCCCGGAGACGCTCTCAGTGGGCCTCGAATCGTCGCATGATCGATCCAAGACGCCAAAGATGGCACCAAGACGGCCCAATAAGCCTTCGCGACGCCCCAGGAGAGCTCCAAGAGCCATCCCAAGAGGGCCCCAAGGAAGGCAAAATCATTGATTGCCCCTGGGTTTTTCAGTGTGTCTAGAGCTCTAGCCTTGCCGAGCTTGCAACGCCCCAAGACGTCCTAGGAGGCCCCCAGAACTGACCCAAAACGGCCCAAGAGGCCCCCCAAGACGCCCCAAGACGGCCCAAGAGGGCTCCAGAGGGTGCCAGGGGCCCTGGATTCGGGGGTTCCGATTTCGGGCAGGGGGGGGATCCTGGGAAATAGAAGTGCGCGAATGGGAATATATGTATATATAATCATAAAAAATGTGTTATACACATGCATACATACACTCGTGTACAAATAGAATACGTGAACAAAAGGATAAACAAATAAGGGAATCAACATATGCGCATGGATAAAGGAGAGAGAGAGAGAGAAAGAAGCAGAGAGAGAACGAGAGAAAAAGAGAGGAACACGCCCATGCACACATGCAGGTACACGTCTACACGAAGCGATGCGGATGGCGGGACGCCCGCCCACGGGGCGGAGCTGCGAGCAGCGCGAGCCTCGGAGGCGGGCGGCCGCGAGGGGAACGGAGCCGAGCACGACGCGCCGAGCGCGCGAAGAGGGCGCCCTATGGTCGCGCGAGTGCGACGAGAAGCCCACAATGGACAGACAAAGTCTCGGGTGGGAAAAGTACACTCAACCCGCGGAATGAGGATGCGCGATAAGGAGGCAAGGGCCTTTGGACGCCCATGTCGACACTTTGCGAGCGGGGCGTGGCCAACGAGCGTGGCCAAGGATGCACCGAGGAGGCAAGGATGCAAGGGTGCCCTTGGGAAGGTTGCCCGTCCTGACTTATGAGAGCGATGAGAAACCCAAAATGAACAGACAAAGTCTCGGGTAAGAAACACTACAATCAACCCGCATACTAAGGACGCGCGATAAGGATGCAAGGGCCTTGGACGCCCATGTCGACACTTTGCGAGCGGGGCGAGGCCAACGAGAGTGGCCAAGGATGCACCGAGAAGGCAAGGATGCAAGGGTGCTCTTGGGAAGGTTGCCCGTCGTGATTTACGAATGCGATGAGAAACCCAAAATGAACAGACAAATTCTCGGGTGGGAAGATTATCGTTGAGTGAGCCTGATTTTTTGGTTCGCGAGCGACGCGGGCAGCCGCGCGCCGTCTAACAAGTCGTGAGAGTGCAGGCCAAGCGCAGGCAGCACGCGGAAAAGGGGGCCACAAAGGTGGCGAAAACTACGTGGCGGAAGCGAAAGAGCAAGAGACCCAAAGATTGAGTGAGCCAGATGCACAGCCATTGAATTTTGATGTGAGTTTGTTCACTCAACCAGAGATCCCATACTGCCGCTGCCGTAAATGTCGCGCGGGAGCTACGTGTACCCACCCCGATCGACAACTGGAAGGCAGAGTGAAAATGTTGCAAGTTGACTTCAGAAACCCAGGCGAAGATAGCAGTGAAGATGAGATGGCCACGAGCTTTAGTTGTCTGACCACGCTGGGGCATACGCAAGAGAAACATTGCAAATGGTACGTATTGCTCGCGAACATCTTGAGAACGGATGTTCGATAATGACAGAGAGTAGTAGGCATCAACATAAGGGGTGCCGCTATCAGGAAGCCCGAATTCATTGGGCTTCTTCGAATCACAGCTACACTCGGAATGCAACGTCCACAACTCGTGACATGATCTACGGAAAGAGACAAAAGAGAGAGAGAGAGAGAGAAAGAGAGAGAGAGAGAGACAGAACCAAAAAAAAGAGAGACAGAGACAGAGAGAGGAAAGAAACACGATTCAGTGGGCGCTGGCGCTGGCAGGCACATCTCGACCACGACGGCTGGCTCGTCCGGGATGGGTACCCGCTTGACACTCAGCTCAATGCCTGCGAGACCGCATGACCTCCTCCTCCTACTCTGCCTCCTGCTCTTCCTCCTGCTCTTCCTCCTCATCCCCATCCGTTTGATGTGCAGGTGTTCTGACCTTTGAGGCGTGGCGCCTCTTGCGCCGATGTTGGGTTGGGTCTACCCATCGCACCAAGCACCAGGCACACGATCCCATGCCATCATTCGTTGGAGGACAGTTATCCACAAGCACGCAGTATTGAATGCCCGACCATACACAAAACACCTTTCGGGAGCGTCCCATCACGATCGCAAATTCGCCGGCCCAACGGGCCAGAGGCGTGCTAAGATCTCCAGCAACTTGTTAACAATATTTTCTAGTTCGCGCGCGCGGGGCGGCCCCTGGGGGCCCCCGGACGAAAAGTACCCCGGCTGATCCCAGGCCGGGTCCCGGGCGATCCCCAGGGGGGAGGCTATTTGTCGCCACCCATCACGAGGATCGTGGCCTCCGAAGGGGTGGCTGCAATCGACTACCCCCCCTCCCGCCCAAGGGGCCCCCAAGAGCCCCCCAAGAGGCCCCAGGGGGGCCCAAGACGCCGCCGAGGAGCCCCAAGACGCTCCCAAGAGGCGCCCAAGATGGCCTCAACAGGCCCCAAATAGCGCGCCAGGGCGGGCGGAATGAGCGAAGCGATTAAATAATCCCTGAAGCAGGCTGCAGCCAGGAAAGCTATGGCTGACCTCAGGCCTGACGCTTTCGACCCCTGCTGCTGGCGGAGGGGAGGAGGGGAGGAGGAAGGCAGAGGAGGAGGAGGAGGAGGAGGAGGAGGAGGAGGAGGAGGAGGAGGAGGAAGAGCAGGAGGACGGGGAGGAGGAGGAGGAGGAGGAGGAGGAGGAGGAGGAGGAGGGGGAGGACGGGGAGGAGGTGCGCGAAGGGGGTGTGCGGCAATGCGGCCTCCTCTCGGCCTCCCCCGACCTAAAAAGACCTCCGCTGCCGGGGCCAGAGCGCACGCGGCTGCGCTGCGCGGCGCCACGCGCTGGGGCCTCACGCTGCACGTCGGCTCCCTCGCGGTGCGGTGCCGCACGATCGGGGCCCCACACCGGCCGCACAGGACGGGGCCCCCCGCGATGGGGACCCGCGCGACAGGGGGGCCCGCACGATGTGAAGGCCCACGCGATGGGGCCCACGGTGCGGTGGGATCCCACACGACGGGCCACCACTGCACACGGTCGGGGCCACCGCGGTGAGGCCCCGCGGGACGGGGTCCAGAACGACGGGCCCCACGCGACGAGGTCCCGCAGACCGCTAGGGCCCCACACAGGATAGGTTCCCGTGGACCGCACCCCGTGGAGTGCATCACATGTCTTGGAGGAGGAGGAGGAGAAGAAAGAGGAGGAGGAGAAAGAGGAGGAGGAGGAGGAGGAGGAGGAGGAGGAGGAGGAGGAGATGCATGGAGCAGATGCACACTGAATCGAACGCCCACGGCGTGAGCTGCGATCCAGAGCGGAAGAGCTCCGTGGGGCTCCGCCTCCGGCTCGTCTGCCTCCGCTTCGCCGCCTGCAGCTGTCTTGCCAACGACCGCGAGCCAGTGACCCCTCCTCCACCTCCTCCTCCTCCTCCTCCTCCTCCTCCTCCTCCTCCTCGGGCGACGACAGTGCCCAGAGGCGCTGGACAGCGAGAAGACGACGGCGCCTGCCGCACCGTTCCTGCGAGAGGGCACTCAAGCTCCAGAATGGGAGGACCCCCCAGGGGATTAGGAGCTGAAGACTGACACTGGACGATGGAGAAGAATGCTGGAGGATGTGAGATTGAGAAAGAAAGATGAAGGGGTGTGGGTGGGATGGAGGATTGAAAACGGAGGATGGAGGACAGAGGCAGCGTGGAGGAGGCTGGAAGGTACAGGAGGGAGGGTCGAGGAAGGAGGTCTGGAGGATGGAGGACAGACGAGGGAGGAAAGTGGATGGAAGACGGAGGATGGAGGAAGCATAGACCACGGAGGATCGAGAGGGGAGGACGGAGAAAGGGAGTGTGGAGGAAGGGAGGGTGGAAGGGAGGATGGAGGAATGGAGAGAAGCAGATGAGTGAGGGAGGACGGGGGACTCGAGACGGAGGAGGGAGGACAAAGAATCGAAGATGGAGGAGACACGAAGGACTGAGAGCAGAGGATGGCAAAAAGGCAGGACGGAGGAGGACGGACAAAGAATCGAAAATGCAAGAGACAGGAGGATGGACACGGAGAGAAAGGAAACCCCGCACCAATGGTCATGTTGTACTGCTTCGGGAAGCTCTTCTCCCCGTTCTCAGCGGGCGCGGCGGGGCGCGGCCAGGACCAGTCGACCCCCAACCGGAACCCAACACACCCCTTCCTGAGCCCTCCCCTCCCCCCTCCGGAATCAGGGGGCCTGGTGGGGGAAGGAGGGGGGGTGGAGAACCCCCCCGTTCTAACTCGGGGGAAGGGGACACGACGAGGACGACGACGACGAAGACGACAAAGACGACGACGACAACGACGACGACGAAGACGACGACAACGACGACGAAGACGACGACGCCGAGGACAACGAGGATGACGACGAGGACCACGGCGAGGACGACGAGGACGTCGACGTCGACGACAACGACGACGACGATGCTGAAGGTTTTACTTCAGGTCCCGCCCGCTTGCCTGGCCTCCTCAGAGGTTACAAAGAAATAATTACATGTCATGTCCCACCCGAGCGCCCGAGTTGACGCCCAATCAGCGGGGGCAAGATTTACAGTCAATGTTCCGCGCGCTCGTCCAGCGTCGTCGTCGATGGGCTGTACGTGTATATGTATACAAATATAACTATCGAAGACGCCTACGGCGAATCACCGCCGCCCCCTGCCTTTGTGGAAGCGCCTATGTGGCCGAACGTTGAGGCCAGACCTGCCAAGCCATCGGACCATGTGTTCCCCGAATCGGTTTGGAAAGCCTTCGGGGAACACGTGGGCGTCTTGATGGTCATCGTCGCCGTCTTGGAGGCCTCTTGGGCGATCTTTCGGCGATCTTTGGGGGCTCTTGGGCCGTCTCGGGCCGTCGGAAGGCCGAAAAAAGGGAAATGCCCAAATCCATCAAAAACCTTGGGAAAATCAGTGATTTTGGCATCTTTTGGCCTTCCTGGAGGCCCTCTTGGGGGCCTCTTGGGCCCTTTTGGGCCAGCTTCGAGCCAACTTCGGCCATCTTGGTGGGTTCCTGGCACGTCTGACGCCGTCGGGAGCCGTTTTGGGGGGCCTTTCTGGGCCAACGGGGGACCCTCTTGGGGCGCTCCAGGGCCGTCTTGGAGGCCATCTTGGGCGTCTTGGAGGCCATCTTGGGCGTGTTGGAGGCCTCTTGGGCCCTCTTGGGGCCCTCTAGGGGCCATCTTGGAGGCCACTTGGGCCATCAGGGGGCTCTCTTGGGGGCCTCTTGGGCGATCTTGGGGGCTTCTTGGGCCGTCTTGAGCCGTCGGAGAGCCGAAAAGGCGCAAATGCCAAAATCCTTCAAAAACCAAGGGAAAATCAATGATTTTGGCCTCTTCGGACTCTCCTGGAGGACCTCTTGGAGGCCTCTTGGGCCGTCTGGGAGGCCTCTGGGGGGCCTCTTGGGCCGTCTTGGGCCGTCTTGGACTCTCTTGGGCCGTTTTGGAGGCCGTCTTGGACCATCTCGGGCGGACTTGGAGGCCATCTTGGGCCATCTTCGCAATTTTTTGAGGATGTCCCGAGCGAAACGGCCGTTTTTGGAGGATTTGTTTCCGGATTGAGGTGTTTTCGGCTTCCTCCCGGGACCCCGGCGGGACGGGCCGGAGCCCACTGGGGAGATCTTTTGGAAAAAGAACCAAAACCAAAACCTGATAGCTCATCCAGCACGCCGTGCACCCCTGCAAGCAGGGGGCGGCGGATCGATCGGCCTTTGGCTCATCCCGCCACCGTGCCTGGGTTGTGGGTCCGAGGGCTCTTCAATATTCGTTGAGATCTCGTGATCGGTCTCCCGGGGTCCTCTTAGAACCAGTTTTGTGGCGTCTTGGGGGTAGGTTTGGGGTCTCTTGGGGCCTCTTTTGGGCCTCGTGGGGGTCTCTTTTCTGGCTTCTTGGGGGCCTCTTGTGGCCTCTTGGGGGCTTCTTGGGAGTCTCTTGGGGGCCCCGGGCTTCTTGGGGGCCCCTTGGGGCCTCCTGTGGTTTTCTTGGGGCCGATGGCTCGAAATGTCCGTTCGGGCCCCCCGTCTGGGCCCCTTCTTGGAGCCGCCTTGGGGGCCTCTTGGGCCGTCTTGCGGGCTCTTGGGTCGTCTTGGGGCACTCTCGGGCTGCCTTGGGGCCGTCTCCGTGGCTTCCTGGGCCGTCTTGGAGCGATATTTGGGGCCTATTGGGCCGGTGTGGAGCGTCGGGAAGCCGTGTCTCGTTTTCTCGTTCTTTCTTCCCCTGGATCGCGGGCACCGTTTCTCCGACCCTGGTTCGGTTTCTCGCTTTCTCGTCTTCTCGGCCCCTGGGTCGCGGTATTGTTTTTACTGACCCTGGTTAGCGTGATGTTTTCTTCTCTCCTCGGTTGCCAGGGCGCGGCTTCGGTTTCTCCAACCCTGGTTCGCTGTCTCGTGTTCTCGTTGCTGGCCACTGGGTCGCGGTCTTCGCTTCTCCGACCCTGATTCGTTTTGTCGAAATCTACAGTCGGGGCGCTGACCTACGGAACCCTAAATCAGGAACGAGGCCCCTTTTCTCCAGAAGTTGAACTTCGACTTCCCTTCGAAAACCTAAGGGAAACGTGGGGCAAACCGTGAAACGATTCAGGAACACGGAGCCCCTACCCAACGAAAAGAGGTCCTTCTTCAGCGCCCCGACTGCAGTCTTCTCGGCCCCTGGGTCGTCTCGTTCTCTCCGACCCCGGCTCGTGTTCTCGTCGTCTCGTTTTCTCTGCCCTGTGGTCGCGGACCTCGTGTCCCCTCTGGCCCTGGCTCGGTGTCTCGCTCGCTCGGCCCCTGGGTCGCGGACGTCGCTCTCCCCGGCCCTTTGTTCGTGTTCTGGTTCTCTCGCTTTTCTGCGTCCCCGGGTCGCGGTCTCGTGTTCCCCGACGCCGGTACGTTGTCTCGTTTTCTCGGTTTCCCCGCCGCTGGGTCGCGGTCCCGTTTTCTTTCTCCTTGTTTTCGTTCTCTGCCGAGGCATAAAGTCTAGCGTGCAGTAGAGCAGGGGCATGCATGGCCGAGGGCGGATGCGTTGCAGGGAACCCGTGGACTGGGCAGCATGGCAGATGTGTGCTCCAGATTTCGTAATAACAGGGAGGGGGTCTGGACCCTCCAAGACAAGCCATTTCAGACCTCCCCCGTGGGAGAACCCTGCAAAACATCGTCCCCAGACCCCCCAGGCCCTCCAAGATAGCCTGGAAGAGATCCCCCCCCCGAAATGAGACCCCCCTCCCTTTATTACGAAATCTGGTGCAACTGCGCGCGCGCACTCCGCAGCCCCCCTGGCCCGACAAGCATCACGGCAGCGGAGCTGGCCGAGACCAGCTGCAGCTGGAGCCCCCCACGCGGCGCTGACGACACCCCGCGCGCGCGCGTATGGCGGCGCCCTCGCGGGCGCTCTCCCCGGCAGACCGTACGACGGCCTCTGGGGAGGCGAGGCGAAGCCCGCCAGTAAGGGGGCTCGGGCAGAGCCGAGCAGCCAGAGTGGAGGGGCCCCAGGACACTCAAACAAATACACACAGGTAAAAAAATTCCCCATAGTTTCCCGTATTTTCCGGGTTTCTGGCTTCCCCCCCCCCACTTCCCATGTTTTCCCATAGTTTCTGGGGGATCGGCGATTGATTGTGTCTGTGTGTTTTTTCCCCTCCTGGACCATGAGGGGCTCGGGTGGAAGCGAGCAGCCAGAGGAGCTCGGGAAGCAGCCGGGCGGAGTCAGCAGGTGGGCCGCGGCGATGGCGGCAGGCGTCGAGTGGCAGGGAGGCGGCCTCAGGCCGCCCACCTTCGACGGGCTCGAGGAGCGCTGGCAGGAGCGGTCCTTCGTGATGAGCGCCTGCCTTGGAGGGCAGACGCGGGTATCCCAACGCATGCTGAGGGCGGCTGAGGATCTCAAGAACGAGCCTGGCATCTCGGCAGAGCACATCCTGAACTCGCTGGACGACGAGGGCACCGCGGCAAACCATAACATGATCTTCAGCTTGGTCATGACCGTGAAGAACAGCGCTCAGATGATCACACGAGGAGTTGATCAACAGAATGGTGCAGCAACTTGGAAAGCGCTGTGCGAGAGGTACGAACCAGCTCCGGCGGTTCGGACCCAGAAAATTATGACAAGCATCCTGAACGTCATGCAACTCGCACATACCCTGGCGGAGTTCGAGGAGGCTCACGCGGAGTGGGAACGCGGCATCACACGGTACGAGAGTGCATCAGGCGAAGCTTTGAACGTTGGCGAGAAGAAGAGCATCTACGATCTACGACGACGGGTACCTGTACCAGAGGTACCCACCCCCACCACCTAGATCTCCAAGGGACCCCAATGCCATGGAGGTCGACGCGCTTACTAGGGCTTATGTACGGCCTGAGCAGAGGCAGGGGTCACGGTGATAGGGCAACGGTGGTAAGGGGGACAAGGGCGATGGGGGCAAAGGCGGACAGGCAGGAGGAAGACAGGTGGGAAGTCGAGCCAGGCCCAGGCGGACACCAGACCCGAGTGCTTCAACTGCGGACGTAGGGGCCACCACGCAAGTAACTGCTGGCGTCCAGCCCAGGCGGACGGTAAGACAGGACCGAATGGACGTGGTCGTGTGGACCCAGAGACAAAGGTAGGGAACAAACCAGCCGAGGCGGCTCGGTCAGCGAGCTCTCTGCGCAAATGGATGCTTGCGCGCTGGGGGGCTCTTGACCCAGCAGTGCGGCGGCATCAACCGTAGGGCCCTCAGCCAGCCAGGTTGGGGCACCTGCAACTCAGGGACACGCGACACCGGGAAGGGTCGCATCCATCGTGCAGCAGGCGACGACCCCCGAGTCCGATCTGGAGCCAGGCTGCACCTTAGCTGTGAGGGAGAGGTCCGTGATCAACAACGTGAGGACCCGGGGCGAATGGACCAGCATGCTGATGCTAACCGACATCTGCGCGGACGAAGCACGTGTGCGGCCAACACCACTTTCCACGGGTGCCCATAACACCCAGCAGGAACCCGAGCTCGGCGGTGGCAGAGGGCACCCCGCTGAGGCACTGCGGCCAGAAGACGGTGGCACGCTACATCGCAGGCAGCCGCAAAATCATCCTTGAGTTCCAGGTGACGGACGTGAGGCAGTCCATCATGAGCGTCGGTGAGTTCTGGCTGAGG